AGGCTGTGCCCCCGGCTGTGCCCCCGGCTCGACCGGCTCATCCTCGTTTTCCTCCTGCTGCTGCGTGGCACCGTTTGGCACGCGTAATGGAAACCCAACCTGATTTGATTAACACAGCTGCAAACTGAGTTCACATCCCTCTCAGCCAACCACAAACAGCCACAGCATCAGATAGGGAGTATATATTCAGCATCTGTCATCTTAGAAAAAGAAAAGAAACAGAGTGAGACTGCGAGAGAGAAAGAGAGCGCATGCGCGCACGAGAGAAACGCTATCAACAAATTGTAAGTTATGTTCGGTGTCTTAAGGGTTTACGTGCTTCATGTGATTGCCTATACAAATGTTAAAATGTTCTTGCTTAACGTGATCTACAAAGATGGAGTACATTATTGCGAGGAGGAGGAGGACGCTGCTGCTCTCTTCTGCCATGGCGAATTGAGTAAACTCTCATTACGCCTCCGTGCGGCGCATTTAAGGGCGAGGAGAGGGGCTCATTTGATTGGTGTGATGTGAATCGGCTGTGTAAAACCCACTCCATGCCTTCTCTCCTCCCTCTTTCCGACTTGCGCAGGTAGGAGGGACAGAGGTGGGAAAGAGGAGTAGCTGCGCCAGGTGCACGGTGTGCCAAACTTGCAAAACACCTAGTTGGCGAAGCGCAGGTGTGCTGCGCCTCCCCCTCGCCCGGTCTGCGAAACTAGAGGCCACGTAGTTAACGTCAATATGTCATTTGGTCCAGTCGCCTTAATGCAGTGTGAAACCAAACCAACCGGACCAAATGTATACAATGTAGCAAAAACACGGACCTTGGTCCGGACTTTCAGGTGTGAAAGCCCCCTTAGGCTACCTATTCCAGAGTAACAGAACACACAGGTTGAAGATCTCTAGGGTTGAAATGATTGGTCAAACAGTTGATAGATTAGTTGATATTAACAAAGAAAAAAAGCAACTATTGTGATAGAAATAAGTATCATTTCCAGGGTTCCCACACATTTTCATGGACAAAAGTTCCAAGCTTTTTCATGACTTTTCAAGGACCCTTAAATCTTTTTTCCCCCCACTTGCACGACTTTACTAGACCATATCAGATTCAAACTCTTTTCAGACATAATTTCAGCTAGCTGGCACACAGAAAGAGAGAGGCAAACCCAGGGAGAAAACCCTGTCACACATCAATGCATATAGTATCAAAGCTATGTTAAGTCAACAGTTATGTTGCATTATACAAAACAAAACAAAATTCCCAGGGATGCCCGATATTGGATTTTTTTGCCTATAACTGATATGCCAATAATAACAACTTATTCGGCAGGTAACCGATACCAATATCGCCAATGATATAACCATTTTTCCCCCCACCTAATTTTTCAAGCAAAAGCAGTAAAAAAAAAAATCACCAAACATTCTCAAACAATGTTATTTTTTAATGTAAACTATCTTTGAGTTTTTCACCTTAACTTCATTTTCATATTTGTATTACCTCTTCTATTCTCTTTGACTTTCTTATTTACACTTTTAGACTTTTTGCACTGTCTGCACTGTGGGTCAATTCTCTGTATGTCTGTTACATGACTGTAAAATTGCCAGAGCCTCTTGTATCTTGAAACCCCCTGGGAAGTTGTGCTGGACTTTTTTTTTTTTTTTTTTACTGTTTCTTGACATTTCAGTGGCTATACAAACAATTACTCAAAGAAATTACTCAAAGAAATAATCTGCAATCAATTGCAATCAAAATAAACATTAGTTGCGGCCTTAAACACATTTTTTAGTACCAGGTTCCAACACATTTTTATGGACAAACTCTCAAAACCTTTTCATGATTTTTTTTTCTCAATGATTTTAACTAATTTCATGTATTATCCAGGCCTGGAAAATGTGATTGTGAAATTCCAATACTTTTCCAGGTTTTCCAGGACTGTGGAAGCCCTGTTATTAACTAATTATTTAAGCATACATCTTACATGTCAAAGCAGCAATGTGGATGGAGATGTTTATCAGTTTTATAAACGTTTGGTATCATGCTGTATGTACATTATGGCCTAAAGATATTCTCTATTACAAAAAAGTCACAGCATCAAACTGCAAGAGGCTTAAACTGCTGCACCTGAAGACAGTTATTCCAATTCGAGCCCTAACCCAACCACACGCGCACTACTTTTAATGTAATGTAAAGTCCATTTAAGATTTGGCTTAACAAGCCGTCTTTCCTATTACCACACAAACGCCCTATATGTCTTGTTAGTTAGCACTCCTCACATCCAAAGACTTACTACTCTTTTTAATATGAATTGTTATCTAAATCAACGCGTCAAAGAGTGGCTCTGACAGTTGCTAAATAACAATGTAAGCTGTAACATAGTTTACTGGGGGTCACAGAGCAATTAACTTATCCTAATACTAGCCATTGCTACTCTTTCCACATCACATTTTTTCCGTTACAGTATCTCATTTTGATGATGAAAAAGCGTGCTTACAGTAACGTTATGCGGACTGCCAAGAGAGCAAGCTAAAGCTAGCCTGCTAACTTAGCTCAGCCACAACTTGAGCAAGCTAACACAGTAGAGTAACTTTAGGTTAGCCAAGTTACCTTGCCAGAGTGCTTGTACAGGAGAAGACACTGAAGGACTTAGCCAACCAGCTAACACCTGCTGTCATTAAGTTGAACGGAGCCATGTCGGTGAGAACAGACGTTAAAGATCTCTAAGCAGAGGGATGAAAGACAAACGTATTGTCAAACGAAAACCAGCGTGCTGTTCAATTTACGCATTAGACGGTTTAACTGAAATTGAGCCTCTTCCCCGCCTCCTTGTTGATATGTATGAGCTGCAAACTTGATGCAAAAGGCGCCCTCAGACTTTCCCGGTGCATTGTGGGAAAAAGTCAAGACGGTTTACTTCCGTTTCCGCTAAAATCCTTATTTTAAGCCAGCCCTGTGTTCCAAATCGCATACGTCTACTATATACTTTTAGTATGTACTGCAGCTGCCCTTAAAAAGTATGTAGTGTAGTATGCAGTATGCATACTATTGGGACACACTACATCCACCATCACATCGCTCCCTGAACTCCGACCCTCTTGCTCACTTCCGTCGCCGTCCGTTGCGCCACATTTGAATATTTTGTGTTGTTGTACTTCGGAGATGCAGCAAATCTCCTCTCGTCGAGCTCGCCAGAGTCGTGCATACCGTCGGAGGTGCCGGAGAGCTCTGTTGCTGTTATGTCGTAATCTATGTTGTTTCTAATAAACTGACGTGTTCACGTAAACAGTCCCAAGCCTATTATTAGTGACCTGTCTATTGAACTAGTCACCAGTAGGCATATTAACCCCCTTCACACACAGCTCTCTGTTGCTGGCAGATGTTTGATGTTGAATATTTATTTATTTATATTTATTTACAGCTGTGCAGCTGCTGGCACTATATTCTGTCTGCACGTGAAGCAGCCTTACATTCACATTACTTTTATTTGTAGTGTAACATACTTGCACATTCTTTCTACATTACTTAATATGTGTTTGAGTTTTACTATTTATATATTTACTAGTCTATACTGCTCATACCTGGCCCATAGTGTATTCATATTTAGTCATATTCATTCATTATTTATACCACACTTACACCACTGCCTATACTGGTAGAAACTTCTATATTGTAGTCATAGTTGAACCCTAACATTGATTATACTATAATCACAATAAAGTTGAATGTTGTAACCGCGTTCTTGCAAAACTGTATGATATGTGACAGTATATAATCAGATCATTGCAGTCCTAATATGTAGTGTCTTAGAATCTCAAATTAAATAAACCATGTATGAAAGGAAGTGTATGCGTTGGTTGTACACGCAGCTCAGTCAGTGCGACGTAACTTCCGCTGCGCAAAGGACTGTGGGTCAGAATGGCCAAAGAAGCATGCTGACATGCATACTGCGAAATATGACCGGATGTAGTAGAACATCCTGGTACTTTTGGCATACTGCATCTCACATACTATGTATTGGGACACACTAATTCTTTTTCTGGCATACTAAATAGTATGATAGTATGGGTATTGGAACGCAGGGCAGGTTTATTTAATTTGAGGTTCTAAGACACTACATATTAGGACTGCAATGATCTGATTATATACTGTCACATATCATACAGTTTTGTATCAAATTAGCTTAGTTTTGCCATCAAACATGGCAGCACGCCAGTAAGGTAAGACAACACGTTTACATGTCATTTTCTATATGTCTATTTTCTACATTTATCCTAACGATATGAGGCGGTCTTTGTGGAAAAAAAGCTTGTTTAGTGGACTAACTTTGCACTTGAAGGGATGCCCTTTCACTTACGTTTTAACAGGTCTGACGCTACTATGCGCCCCGGCTGTATCTAGGCTAACGGCTAACATGCTCACTACTATTTTTACGTCACTAGTCACTTGAAACAAATTTAGGACGATAGGAGACAGGTTGAAATAAACTGAAATTTCCCTTTAAATAACATACTGTTTAATCTTTTGGCTTGATGGAAGCCAAAGTCGATCCAAAGTCGATTCTTAAGTCATCAAATTTGTGATTCCAGTCTGACTTTAGTCCAAGTCATGTGACTCGAGTCCACACCTCTGCATGTGGCAATCCCAGTCTAAATAAACATCTGCACTAATGCCTCCTCGGGCTTGTGTCAACTAATCTGACCAAATTGACAAAGATTAAACCAAAAGACATTTCCTGTATATTTTTTGTTTTATTTTAGTTCGTTTTCTAAGTACAAAATATTGCTTATTATTTTTCGTTTTCTTCTCAAGTTTGTTTTTTACTGTTGTTTCAGTTGACTTAAATGTTTTATCACACCTAGTTTTAGTTTTTACTTTTAATTAACTATATCCTTGCAACTGACTTAACCACATTAATACCAAACAGTCTGATCGCTAAATTAGACCATGTTAACAGAACAAGTCTAGAAAATACAGGCTGCCTTCCACACATCAACATTAAGTTCTGTGATAAAAACCAAAGTCATGATAAAAACTGTACCATTCTTTAATTCAGTACAAAAGGTGCCACTCAGGCTTCAAAGACACAAGTGAGAGACTGTTTACACAGGAACAGAAAATGGATTTTTTTTTTTTTTTTACCATTTCTATAGCATAGATAGATATACAGACAGACTGGAGGTCAAACAGAAGAACACATTTAACCCAGGTACGGGTTTCACTGGGTTAAAAATCAGATCTTTATGCCTGTGTAAATCTAACCACAAAGCCAACATCACTGCTATTCTCAGGGGAAAAGAGTACATCATTTGAAGACAGATTTACATTGTGATAACTCTAATTTAAAAGAAATGTTCCAGAGCGTTTAATACTATATAATTATTATTAATAATAATAATAGTAATAATAATAATAACAATAATAATAATAATAATAGGAGGAGAGGAGGAAGAAGACAGTAATATGTGACTTGACTTGTAATTGCATCCATTTTCAGGAAACTGCAAGATTGCAACAGTACATAGTTTTATTCCACTTCATCTGCTACAAGATGCAAAAGAACTCAACCAAACCCTCCATCACCCACGGCGTGACATGTCATTATGTGGGGCTTCCATATTTGGCATTCACCCTTCCACATCTCCATGGTTGAGTGGGTTTCTTGCAGGGACTGGAGCTGGGCTTTTCCAGTTATGAAGCAGCTTGTCTAACATATATGCTATCCTGCTGCACTATTACTCAGCTCCTCGGAAAAAAAGGCTTGTTGCTGAATGGCATATGGTGGGACTCATGTCTTTCGATCCACTAGTTTTACTTGAATGGTAAAGAATGCCGCAAAGCAATTTGTAATAAACTTGTGTTTAAATAAAGTTTCACTGATGCAAAAACAACAAGCCAAATGTGACTTGAAATGTCACGGTACCCATCAAATGACCAGAGCCAATCTCTCTCATCTGCTCAAAGTAAAACTCTCTACTTCTTTTCAAAAACAAATAAAATGTATACAAGTCATGGTCTCAGATTAATAATAATGTTAATAACAGTTCAGTCTGATGCAAGTTACCTAAGATTACTTCATGATTCCATACTCATTTACAGTGTGCTGTGACTTAAAAAAAGGAAGGAAAAAGAAAAATTCTCAGCATGTTTTCTTCTCTTTACATGGCATACTTTTGGGTCCAATCTTTTGCTACTTTGTTGTATCTAAGGAGAGAAAAAAAGAGTGAAGTAAGTGGTTGATAATCACTGATAACACCAGGTACACACACGTTAATACTGACAATAAAGTACTACCCGAGCCTGTGTGGATACTCACTTGTCTTTGTCGTTCTTGTACATGTGTGCTATGTCTGGAACTAAGGGGTCGTCTGGGTTTGGATCACAAAGCAATGAACATATGGACAATAAAACTGGAATAAAGAGGAATTTAAAAGATCACGTCAGTGCATATGTTGACAACATATGTTTAAATTGAGCTTCTCCCACATAGATCCCTACTTGTGGTCACAGGGGGCCAGATGCATCTGTGTACGCACAAAGGCAGAGATGTGCATACAGGTATGCATTCTTTCTGTGAGATTTATTAAGTTGCGCTTAAGCCTGATTCTGTTTTAAAAATCTCAATCATTATGGAGCTAAGTGCATGTACACAGGCCTCGTTTCCACACCCATAGTTTGCCATAAATGGATGTAGAAACACCAGCCCCAAGTGTTTTGCAGGTGGCGAAACCAGTTGGACCAGGACCATTACAAGAAGCTAATGGGTTGCCATCCAAAGAACTGCTTGGCAACCAAACCAGGCGTCTATTTGAAATAGGCCTTTGTTTGTCAAAATGTGTAGCCACACGGGGCTAGTAATAACACTAATTAATTAAATAACAATCATTTACCGTCCTAAACTTCGTCCTCTGCTCTGAGAGTAAGGAGCTCTCAAATCTCATTGTTTTCCCAATTTGTGGACATTTTCACTCACTGTTCTTTGAGTTAGCTGCCCACTGCCATCAGCTACTTTTTTAAGCTCCCACAGTGGGTCACAATCATAACACGTTGTCATAACGTCACACCCCTGGCACCCATGATCCTGTCCTGCCGGCTATCCTGTTCATACAGACATCGTTTCAGCGCTGTTACTACCTTTGATGCCGGCTTTATGGCAAGGCAACCCTGTCCCCTCATTATACCATCGTACCTTTCATACATAACGACAAGGCAGCATAACAGCCTGATATTCCTGCCTTGAAGAGGCAGTGTAAAAGGGGTTGGGGAGGGAGAGAAGACAGAGGCATAGAAAGAGAGAGAGAGAGATTTTCAAAGTGTGGTATTTTGGAATGAAACTCTAAACATGAAGGTGAGATGGATTCTAGTGTATTACTGATTTAATTTTACTGTACACTGCTGCAAAGCACCACACCAGTTTCTTCAAATGCATTTAGAAATAGGGCTTCTTAAAACACAGATAACATGAAAAACAGACATAAGATCACAGGAATGATGGGCCGTCAGAAGCTCAGTGGATGGAGCAGGCGCCCCATGTACAAGGCTGTTGCCGCAGGGGCCCGGGTGCGACTCCAGCCTGTGGCCATTTCCTGCATGTCACTACCCCCCCCCACCCTCACACACTTGTCTATCCTGTTGATTAAAGGCTAAAATGCCCCCACAAAAAATCTTTAAAAAAAAGAAAAAAAGTTCACAGTAGTGATATAGTGGAGCTGCTGTTGCAGTTGACACAGTGAGAGTAACAGGACACTGTACTTACCTTTTGACACTGTTAATGCTGGAGACCACTGTGACCGTAGAATGTCCAAACAGATACTCCCATTGCTGTTTATATTTGGGTGATAAATCTTAGTTGTAAATGCTACCTGTAAAAAGAGTAACACAGGTCTGTATGAGTAGAGAAGATGCACTTCACAGTTACTCTACGAGTGTTTGCCTTGTAGAGGGAGGTTCAGTCCAACATGTGGCTCTCATGCTGTTTCCAGTACTGACCCTGTTCTTAATGAAGCCTTTCTTACGAACATGTTAAATTGAAAAAACAATCCTCTTGTTATTGAAAGTAAACTGTTTATTTCTTTTTCACTCACTCTGGTGGGTATCTGTTATGGTGTCACTGCTGAACAAAGAGATGTAACAGAAATATGAACTAGAATTACTAACTTGGGGTTGTATGCCTCTGCAAACCAGTCAAGTTGCAGTTAGAGTTTACATCCATATCTGTAAAAACATGGATGCTTCATTTGTGCCAAATTTGAAGAAATTCCCTGTGTTGTTGCGATATCATGTTTCTAAGAATAAGACAAATAGTGTTGCAGTAACTTTGACCTTTGACCACCAAAATCTTATTAGTTGAGTCCAAGTGGACATTTATGCCAAATCTGAAGAAAGTCTCTTAGGGAGTTCTTGAGATATTCTGTTCACAAGAATGGGACAGACAGACAACCTGAAAACACAATGAGTCCGGCCTTGGCTATCATCTGTGCATAGGCATAAATATGGTGGCAGCGAAAGTGTCTCACTTTTTTGTTCCTGCAATGAAAGAGGCTGTGTTAAACATTGCGTACTGACCTATCTGCTGTCTCTATTGTGCTTATTTTATGTACTGTACTGCTTTGCTATCATCTTTGATAAATCAAATCTACTGACACAGAAGCTAAGCAATTTACTGCTGTGGACAGGGCTGTAGCAAAACATAAGTGGTGAAAATACTCTAAATATAGCATAGACTTAAACTGATAGATATTTTTTTTGGTTGACCTTTTTAGGTGGCTAAAACCTAACTAAATGAGGCAGTGTTTGGTCAGCACCATTTGATTTTATGTGTGTGAAGCAAGGATTTTCTACTTGAAAGTTATTGTAAATAACCTCTGTGATTCACTCTCTACTTTATGTTTCAAACAGAAAAGCTGTGAAAGATAAAAAAATCATTGTATTTGAACAAATGATATTTTTAATCTGATGGCATGGCATTTTATTAGCAAGCGGCCACAGTATAAGCTTGATAATATCCTCCAAGTTTATATGTTTAATGACTGTAATGAATTCTGGAGGAACACCGCCCTCTGCTTGTTCTTAGCTGAAGAATAAGCACCCATTACAATCATGGAATGTACAACTTGTCAGGTAATATCCCATAGATTATAAATGAGATAGGGGAGGTTTCCAGGACCAGAGGGTTGGCTGCTGTACATCCACCACAATAAATTCAACAGTATGGCAGGACAAAGCTTTGAGGAACCAAACAAGCTCTTACCTTTGGTGGCTTGAATGGGTAGTCAGTGGGGAAGTGGATTGTAAGAAAGAAAACTCCTCCTTGGTAAGGACTGTCACCCTGACATTAAGACATGTGAGACACTGCTGTCATTTCACACTGAAAAGCATTCAGCTGGAACCAAGCAAATTTCAGCCCCCTACAGTGAGAACAGGGGCCTGTGTACGCAAGTTCACCTTAGTCAGGCTCTCTCTGATGTATCTGGATTTAAAAGCCTTAGGCCCCGATCACACAGAAAGCGTTTTGCAGGTTGCAGGTTTTATTTAATTGAATGCCACTAGTAAAAAAACACTTGCTGCGCCTTTTTATTGTTGCAAGGCAACCATCCGATCACCTCCATACCCCAACTTCCCCATGTAATTAATCTACAATATTCAATTTTTATTTTATTTATTTCACAGTAATTAGTATCTAATTTCTAAAATGGAGAGACAGAGGGAATTTGCTCTAGTTCCGGTTGAGGGTGAGTCTGTCAGCAAATAGTTTGTTTGGCACAGAGAAACCGAGATCTGTGTGGGTACATGAGACCCTAAAAAAAAAAAAAAAAAAAAAAAGACGGTGTATCACAGGGTTGGTCCAGGAGCTTCGCCTCCATGATGGCCGTTTCAAGTACTGCACTTATATGCTTCGCGCCTGCTGTTTTCTATGGAGATCGTGGTAACTGCGGTTTGTAGAGTCATATAACTCTGGGTATCCAGCAACTGCATGCACCAGGTTCTCCTCCATTGTTTACCAACTGTAAACTTGTTGTCATGACCACCACAGAAGGCCCGCCTCTCAAAGCTTCCAATTGGACAATGTGATAAAAGCGGAGATGACTTGGGGCTCTTTTTCGGTCCTGAGGTGGAACTTTTTTCAACTCAAGCGATTCAGAGTGCTCCACCAAAATCGCAGATGCCTAGAGCGTAGCAACGCAAAAACAGCAGGCAAAAAGGTTCATTCTCATTAAAAGCAATTACAAAAAGCCGCCTCCAGCTGCTAAAACGCGTTATCAGGACCTAAGGCCATTGCACACTAATGCTGTGTTCACACTGGGCGCAATACAACAATTTGCCTGAGTAAATTACATGTTAAGTCAATGTAAAGATGCAATTAGATGCGAATTCCCACCAGGTGGTGCAATGGATGCCATGCGAATGATGCGAATTAAGCGCCATGAATGAAGTGAGTAGCGCGATTTCACGTCATACCCGTATTTGCAAGAGCTGAACTATCTGAACTTTGGCGACCAATTCACGCTGCAATAGCCATTAAGGTCTGAGGTTCTCCAGAGATGTATGATGCCAAGGATGTACCGGCAAAAGTTCAGTCATCAATTCAGCAATTTCAAGCGCGTATGACACAAGTTATTCACATGTATGAAGTGAGTCGACACAAAATATTCTAGTGTTCAAACTATTAACGGGACACAAAAATTCACATCCCATCTGGTGTGAACACAACATAAGTCCATATTTTACACATGTGTATTTTTAATCTGTCATTCATTAAAATTGTTATGCACACAAACCTTGCATACTGAGTCCGACAGCATTTTATTGTTCTACTCATTGCAAAAATTTGCAACATGAGACAAATGGAAGGGCACATTTGGTCCCTTGCTTCTGTCCAATGGAGTTACCTCCCTGGCTGTAGCCATCCTCTCACCACAGTTATCTGAAGAGCCTGAGCCATCCTCCCTCTTCATCTCCACACTGTCGCGCTCTCTGTCTGTGTGCAGTCCACAACCTCTTCCTTGTCATCATCATCCACCTGAATATTACCATGTGACCTGTTGAAAGTAGCCTATCTGAGTTATGAAATGATACTGTGTGCTCCGTTCTTCTCTCTTGTTGCAGATGTATGTGTCCAGCAGGTTACGCCACATTTTCTTAACTGCCTCTAGGTCAAACAACTCTCTAAAGGCTTTTGACGGATGCTAAAAACAAATGCTGAAAATCTGTCCCAAAACCTTTAATGACAGACAAAAGTTCTGGAGTCAGTGTGCAAATTTGACAGACACAAGGTGAGCTCATATTTATTTTTAAACGTGTGTGACAATTTCCAGCATAAAATACAGAATTGGTGTGCAGTGGCCTTAATCTCCCTCGCCAGCATTATTTCAGAAGATGATGTCTTGATTAAAGAATCGAGTCACTCTTTAAAAGGAAGGCCTTTCAGAGCTCGTCACTATTTGAAAACCAATCTAAGATAAGAGCCCATTTCCAATTAAGCACAAGCACATGAGTGTGTATGAGGGGACTGAAAGCCTTACATGATGATGTGATACTCACCGGACCCATTATGGTTGCCTGCCAATGAAACACTAAAAGCAATTAAGGGAGAAAGAGAGAGACACAGAAAAATGTAAGCTGTACAGGTCACAGACACAATGTTCATCAGTCATCATGCATCAGTTACAATGAAGTGTGTCTACAAAAGCCCATGCCCCAACCCAGCTTTCTTGATGTTAGGTACAGGTTACACTAGTCTTATGGCTCTAACCTGTGCCTGGGTCATTTCAATGGTAAACAATCCAACTGCAAGGTTTTCCCCACTAAACTATTTGAAAAGGAGATAGATAGATTTCGATCAGGAATAGAGTGTATTCCCAGTTCTAGTCCCAAATTTTGCTTCCGAAATAAGTTGTGATGTAAGAATGGCTCATAATTAATTGTAAACCCTTCACCTAAATCTGTATTGTCCAATCATAGCTCTGCAACTGTAACTTGGCAGAGCAGTTGTGTTAAGCTTTTGAGTTGCTGTGCTGAAATGCGGTGTTGTGGTGGACTTGTCACTGATCACTTTCCTTCACAGTCACTGACTCGCTTTTTTCCTTAGCTTCACTGTTAAAATCTACTTCAGTACGTTTACATGCACGGTTAAGTTGAGCTACAGTAATAGCTTGACAAGGCCATTTAACTGTCCTTTCCCAGTATACAAGCACGGGAGGGGAATCGATTTACTGACCGAAGTATGTTCGACTCTGCTACAATAGCTGGTGATATGTCCCCTTTCAGCTTGTTAGTATTGGACGTTTCTCCAGTTGACATCTTTCGTCACAGACCAAACAACTGACAAACAAGTTAGCTATGGTTAGCTAGCGGCAAATTGGTACCACGGTGGACAACTTTACAGCTCTGTACACTTCATACGTGCTGAACGCTTTACTTCTTCTTTTTCTTCTCTTCTTCTGTTACACATTTAATGCTATTCAACTTCTGGGTCAACGCCTGGAGTGGAAACTGTGGAGCATGCGCAGAGTGCCTAGGCCAGTTTGGGTTCGATTGACTGTACAGGAGTAATTTGACTCCCCATCACATTATCTGGGTGTGTTTGTCCAACTTCGAGAAATTCGATTTAGTACGATTTCAGTTGGACTAATATGTTCCATGTGTTTTAGAATTCCAGTTTCAGACAGAGACATTTTACTATGTAAAACAGTAGGTGAATGCTTCACAGTTCAAAGCTAATTCAGTAAATACAACAATAAAGCCCCTTTCCACTAGGGATGGGCAAACGATCAAAATTCATTATTCGATCATCAAAAAAATTAACGATCAATTATCGATTAATTGATAAGTGAGTATTTCAAAAGAGAGAAAACAAAAGAGCGCAGTGCTGACTGTCGCCGCAAGAGAGCGCAGCTGCCCCAGTTTTGAACTTCAACCCCCCAGGCCAAAGAGGAAGAATGGCGCGCATGCGCAGTTCACCCCTGGGTGTTTACATCCGTTGCCAGCACAACCTCCGTCTTTCAATGGCGTAGTGTTTTCAGAGGCCTCAAGGGAAGCCGCTGAGGCTTTGGAGAGCGATGAGAGCCTCCGTCTGTTTCTGATTTTTTGCCTGGCATAGGTCCGGCGGGGGTCTCGTAGGCCCGTCGAGCCGCCGTGCCCACCGAGCGGAAGGGTCTCGTTGGCACGGCGACTCGCCGGGCGGGGGGTCTCGTTGGCACTGCGACTCGCCGGGCGGGGGGTCTCGGTGGCATGGCGGCTCGCCGGGAGGAAGGGTCTCGTTGGCATGGCGACTCGCCGGGCGGGGGGGTCTCGTTGGCATGGCGGCTCGCCGGACCTATGCCAGGCATTGTAGGGGAAACACTGCGACTATCGATCAAAATTATTTGTGATTGATCAAAAGCCTTCAATCATCGATAATCGAAAATTGATGCCCATCCCTACTTTCCACCTAACATTTTTTCGTATAGAGACAGAGCGAAACGTCATAATCTGAAAGCCACGGCCCCAAAGGCGAAACGAGGCTTTCCCCTTACACTTTCCCCCTCCGTTTCCAGCCTGTTGAGTTTTCCCTAAGTCCAAATGCCGAAAAGTTGCTGTGTGGTGGGCTGCACGGCCAATAAGGCTAAAAATCCAGAGCTTAGCTTTTATCAGCTGCTGAGCAGAAACACGTAACCTTGTAGAGGACAAAAGTAGATACAGGCAATAACACTTGAGGCTTCAACAGGGAAGAAATTGTGGGATCCTGACACTCGGTATGCCTATGTGTGCAGCAAACACTTTGTCAAACCCTCCAAATGTATTTTTTAGAGTAACATTGAACTCTATTTATGTATGTTAAGCTAAAGCAATGACAGTATGAATGCAACTTCTGTTATGCCCAGCGTGCCGCAATTCAAGCAGTCCATTCCAGCAGTCCGCTCTAGCACTTCTATCAATGTACCAGCATGTAGAGGCATGTCTCAAAAAGTGATGCAGCCTGCTCCTACTACCGTGTGCCGGTAGTAGGAGCAGGCTGACGGCCAATTTCCACCAGATGCATGTTGGTAGCGTCTCCGCTCCGGCACGGCAGCGGAGCCGATAGGATTCCATTCCAGTCAATGTGTGTGTTTCCACCGGCTGCGGCTGTGCTGCATTCCGGCTCCGTCTCAGCTCCGGCACTCTGGAGCCCTCCGGAATAGATACGAAGGACTTGTATTTTTGCCGGACGCCGGAGCACAACGCAGCAATTCAGCACAGAGCAGATCGTGCGGGGCAGGAAGTCGTGCACAGAAACACGATAAAACATCCGGTTAATTTTCAAAATAAAATACACAGTGTTCACAGCGGATCATATTTACTTGCACTACACCTTAAAAACTACATAATGGGCAGAGGCAGGCCTGAAGTCAACAGGTCAGAGGTTTTCAGACGTCATTTCACCCCGTGAACACCATGGACGAGGAGATATTAATCATGGCAGTGCACCGAGATGTCTTCCGGCGGAGCTGCACCGCACAGCAAACGCAGCCGGTGGGTATTGACGGACGGCGGAGCACGCAGAGGATAACCAGCGCTGCCGTTCCGCAACGGACACGCATCCAGTGGAAATC